ACCCACATAACCATCGAATTCAAGTGCGTGACTTAACGTACTTGTCACAACTTTACAATTATAAAAAGTAGATTTTTCCTTGCGACTAAATGTTCTCAGTTGTTGATTGTTAACAACTTGATATTTTAACCTCTGTACGTCTATTAGAGAGCAGTCTCGCAGATCACGGGAAATAGAGTGCACTTCTCTAAGGTTTAGTCTCCTTCGCAGCCTCCCCTTTTGTCGGGCTTCCTGTCCCTCCCAAAAGTTATCCGTTCGTCAAACTTGTTCAAAACTAAAATTCCTGGTCATAAGAAGCATTTTGCACACGCTCTGAATGCGTGGATTACATAATTAATCAACACCACACGTAGAGAACAATACCTTTTGGCTGGACTACTTTCTGGCGAGGAAATAATAATAGTCACATCATTTGTTGGGATCCTGTTTATAGAGAAGACAATTTCCAATATTAATTTTTACTTTAGCTTACCGCCTTCATTTCTTAAAATTTGTTTATTATAGCCTGATGGACTTTGCTGCGGCCGAGGGATTGTGGGGGGACGAGCGGAGAATGGGGAGGAGGAAACAAGGAAGGGTCTGTAAGATAGGGGATATCATACACAGGGAGCTCGGCTTTTGCTTGATATAYATAAATAAGCGCTTTGAATTCTCTCGAGGCCTCTAGGCCACTTTGAATACTGAAAGATCCAGAAACGATAGATTTAGCGGGTTCCCTGTGGAACTTAAGGGATTGGCGCCAATGAAACATGCTCTTGGCGTGTAACCAGATATCCAGTAATAACGCCTTCGCATTGAGTACAACAGGGAGCCCGGCTTTTGATTGATATACAATTGATATATAATCGCTTTGAATTTAGCCTGAGTATCAGGCTCYCTTGAGGCCTCTAGGCTACTTTGAATTTGAAATTCATACTGAAACGATAGATTTTGAGGGTTTCTTGTGGAAGGGATTAGCTCTAATGACACATGCGCAGCCACGCGTTCCTAAGCGCTCCGAGGAAGCTTGGTGCTTATTTTCTCCGCCCCAAGCTTCCTCGGAGCGCTTAGGAACTCCTGGCTACGCAGGCTACTTAGGGTGTTTAGAGAATGCGTTACTAAATTTGAATTTAAACATTATCACCGGATCTGATTACACGCCGGGAGGTCGGATTGCGTTCGCTTACGCAAGCAATGTTTGTGGTCACAACATATGTATTTAACATTGTTTATTTAGCAAGCGAACAGGAATAATAGGTTCGCGTTGGATACGGATCGTTGGGTAGGACGCGACTATAAAACGGTAGATTTATSCAAAAGTTACCATTCGCGTCCAACGACGTAACGCGTCGTGTTTTCAACTTCGAACTGGTTTCTCTGGATATGACCGATCCTTCAGACAACGTCGACAACTTGCTTCGATCGGAAGACGAAGCTCGAGAGCCAGACCAACAAGATCCTGTGGCGCCGAACTTAGCTCCAACGAACAACCAAGACCACTCAGAGCCCTCCAACCTGGCAGACACGTTCTCCCTTTTCAAAGACTACCTTGATAAGAAGCTCGCAAATCTAAAGGACGACCTCAAAGACGAGGCATCCGCGACAACTGAAACGTTGAAAAAGAAACTTAAAGAAMAGTCGGATATCAGATTCAAATACGAGGGCAATAAWYAACAGCACAAATTCAATTCCACCCTAGCCGAGCACGTGGAGGCAGCAAAATCAGCTTTAGGCAAGAGAAAGTACTCGGCYGCAAACAGTGCTTTGGACAAGCTAGCTACTGAGATCAAGAAGAGGAACAAGTTAATAAGATTAGTAGACAAGTCTCCGGCTGGGTGGGACTTTGCGCACGAATACCTGTCAGAYGAGCTGGCGAGCGGAAGCGAAGATGAAAAGAAAATAAGGAAAGCTGAACAAGCGGCCTTACGTAAAAAAGCGCAGTCCAAAACGAGAAATAGGCCAGTAAGACCCAGATCACAGCCATTTACGGTAACCAATCAACAATCCACGAGTCAAGTCCCCAATCCATCCTTTCCTAACCAACAGACAGCCTTCTAYGCATCCRGTCGCGTTGTTCAGCCTCAACGGTTTCAGCCCAGAAGAGCAGGACCAAAYGACATCTGCTTTGCGTGCGGACTGCAGGGGCACTGGAGAAGCGAATGCAGAAGGTCGACGAGAAATATCCCAGTAAGCACTAACACGGCGCAAAATACAGGAGGTAACTAACGACTTGACACGCGCTTGCGTGGACTATATTTAAGCTTATAAGTTATGGAATCGTACGATATTGATTACGTTATTGACAATAACTCGGACAATTATGGATTGTCAGAATTTGARCAAGACGATCATCCGCCTATTCTAAGGGGCAGATTAAAGCGCCATTTGCCGTATTGGGCCTCTATTGATGCAAGCGCGTTTGCCCTGGACGTGATTGATAGCGGGTATCGGCTCCCCTTTATTGAAACGCCATCTAAGTTATTGTTATTGTTATTGATAGCGGGTATCGGCTCCCCTT